ACTGTTCCTCGAGTAACAAGTTGTTTTCATCGGCAGATGTTAGGAGCCGGTGGCACAGTGCTCTTTCGAACAGTTTTGATAACCCTGAGAGAAGGCTGATTGGTCGATAACTTGAAGGAGAGGACGGATCCTTCCCAGGTTTCCGGATGGGTATGACTTTAGCTGACTTCCAACACGAGGGGTAGTAGCCAAGTCTGAGGCACTGATTAAAAATCAGTGCCAGATGGTTGTAGAATCTGGAACTCAAGTGTTTGAGTTCCAGATTCAGGATGTTGTCGAAACCTGGGGCCTTCATGTTTTTAGATGATTTGATATAAGCCAACAGTTCGTCAGTCGTAATCTCGGATTCCTCTTGAAAAATGTTAGGAATCTGAAGAAGATTGGTTGCATTTTCAGCAACCTCAGATTCATGAGGGCTGACGATGTTTTGTCCGAGATTATGGGAGCTGACGAAGTGTTGACCTATCGCGGCAGCCTTCTCTTCAGGAGTTATCAGATGAACCACTGGGTCGCCGGGACGATCTAGTGGGGTCAGTGGTGGAATGGGCCTTGGCTTGTTTTTAAGAATTTTTGTAAGTTTCCAGAAGGGCTTAGCACAATCTGGGAGAGAGCTAGGGAGAGAGCGGATCTCACTAGCAAAATCGTTATTTCTGAGATCCACCATCCTGGCCTGAATGATCTTTGTTAATCGATTACAATTGGTCTTCAAGTTAGGCAGGCCAGTACGCTGGTACTGCCTACGAATGGTGTTACGGAGTCTAATGAGATCTTTGGTAGGGCTGTCAAGGTTCAGAGTGTTACTCACCTGTCTGGATACTTGTACGTGTTGTTCCCTGGCCCGGGAAATCGCCTCCTCGATAGTTTGTAGACACCGGTCAACATCTTCGGACGTCCCCGGTTGGACATCGTAGTCGATGGTTGTGTCGACGCAGTGTTGATATTGCGCCCAGTTGACTCGATGGTAGTTGCGCCGGGAAGCTGCGAATCGGTTTACCGAGGATCCAACTTCGGCCACCACCGGGTAGTGGTCCGAGCTCAGCTCCTGGAATGCCACAGGTTGCGAGATGTTGTGTCCCATGTTGCTTACAAAGATGTCGATGGTCGCATGGACCCCAGACCGACTCAACCGGGTGGGAGAGTCCGGGGCCAAGATGGTATAGTGGCCCTCTTGCAGGTCTTCATTGAGGATGATGCCGTTTCTATTGCTCCGACCGTTGCCCCAAGCTTGGTGTTTTGCGTTCAGATCGCCAGCGATGATAAAGTTCCCGCTCCTCCGGGTGAGTTTGATGATGTCTTTCCGGAGGGCCACTGACGACCCGTCCCTGATGTTGTTTTGCTTGGGGCAGTAGGCCGCAATGATGGTGATTGGGCCAAGTGATGTGCTTTGATACAAATTTTCCTTTACCTACTGATTTTATACTGTGCGTGCGCACATCAATAGCTACAGGGAAGTAACAACAACATGATGACGAAAAATATTGTAAGAAGAAGGGGCTTAATTGGCTGTTCTGCGAGTATAGACCAAACAGTCATCTAGCACTCGCGATCAGTTGCAGTAAAGGGCTTGAAAAGGGATTGTTTATCGTCCGTAACTGCGTACGTTTTCTGCATTAACTTGCACAGCAGCGACGGACGTTTGAATGTGTAAAACGGCGCATTCAATCTAGCTTGTTTCGGTTGTTTGCGCTGTGTATGCCACAGCTGCTGATAGAAGCCGATTTTTAACACATTAATATTACCATATTCCTGCATATTGAAACTCCAGAATGACGAAAGCGTGTGTTTGTTTTGTTTCTCTTTCTTTACGTAACCATACGGAAAAGCTACTATGTACAAATCGCTCTCCATGGGTAGCTTTTATACGTATTTTGCCTCTCTTTTTCGATAGCACGGATATACCAGTGGTTAGAGAATGTCAGGCCAGTGACAAGGCCTATACCAACAGCAGCGTTTGACAGTAGGCAGCATGTCCCGGGCTCAAATAATTTATTTTGCTGTGCTGGGCCCGCTGTCACCGTATAGTATGTTGCCTACGCGCCTGCCACTCGGCTGGAGAATGTGCCCTTAAATCCCAACATTCTGCTGCTCAAGTTAGAAGCAGCAAAGTGATTGCGATCAGTTTACTGTTTTTACAATCGTTCACAGCTGAAATCCGCAAAGGGAACTTGGTCGAAATCAAAATGTGAATGAAGTCAGAGCAAAAGGATAATAGCATAGAGGTAACTCTAAGACCACTGGGTCCCGAAGAAAATCATTATTATTTTTGGCTCACTCAGTACCAGAACAACGGTCCCAAGCAGTCCCAAGCTATTTCACTCACCCCTGCATGTTCTGCATGAATCCACACACCCCTAATGTTATCTGTCAAACTTTCATAGCGAATCAAAACAAACATAGTGTAGTAATAGAATTTCAACTAGAATAGGGTACGTTAATCGTTTGTTTGGGACCAATAGGCTACTAAAGTGGTGAGCCAATTTAAAATCGTTAGTTTCGTATTGATTGTTGATAATAGTGTATTCAGATCTGAGCGTGCATAAGCGGAGCGGAGCGGAATTTTTGTTGTTGCTTTCCCGAATAGAAATTTACATTAGCCCAACGTTTGATTTTGATGTCTACATCAGCATCGAAATCAAATGTATGCCTGATGTCAAACATTAGAAAACATTATGATTTAGTTGTATTTAAGCAACGTACACAGCAAAAAAAGTTGTTGAATATTACATCGAAACTGCTGCAACCAGGTCAATCCATCGGTTGTGTAATATCACATTGTACGATGTACATCGATTTTGCGAACAAAATTACATCCATTGATGTAATATTGTATCTGCTTTTTGCTATTACATCATTATTTCATACATCAGCTTGAATTACGTTGATCGATATTACATTTTTTTTTGCTGTGTAACATGGTGTATACATCAGAAATTTTGGAACAAAATTTTGTCATTCTAATGTCGGTCTGACGTCAAAAATTTCAATCTATTGACATTAGAACCAAACGTTTTAAGGATGTTTTCGGATGTACAAAACGTTAGAACTAAACGTTGTTCGGATGTTTTTATATGTAAACGTTTTCTGATGTTTTCTAATGTAGATGTTTCCTGATGTTAGAAACAAACGTTTTTGGATGTTTTCAGATGTAAAAAACGTTAGAACTAAACGTTGTTCGGATGTTTTTATATGTAAATGTTTTCAGATGTTTTCTAATGTAGATGTTTCCTGATGTTAGAATCAAACGTTTTTCGGTTGTTTTCGGATGTAAAAAACATTAGAACTAAACGTTGTTGGGATGTTTTTATATGTAAATGTATTCTGGTGTTTTTCTAACGTAGATGTTAACTGACCTTAGCTAACCTAATATCATTGTGGCAACTCTCTATGCGGCAGGGGAACTATGCCATTAGCGCGCTAAGAGTTATTAGACCACTGACATAGGCGCCTACTATTCGTGGGTGACGAGGCACTTGGTGACATTACAGCGAGCTTGGCGATTGTTATAGTATTTTTGAGTGAACTACCAGACAATCATGACAATGTGATAGCTGCGCCTCCAGATCTCCTTTTAAATCGACCCGCTGTGCCAATTTGCCAATAATGCATGACACTTTGGACGGGGTTGTTGGCTTGTTTGGTCCACTGTTACAAGTGGCAAGCCTTCCACTTCACGGATCGCTCCAAAAATTGCTGCCTGTTCCACAGATGATCCAAAAATGCGGAAAGTTTTGGGCTGCCTTATTGACGAACTGCAAATATATAATAAACAAAATTATTGTGCATGAAAAATACGACAATGGACAATGCTCGAGGAGCACTGGGAGTTTTCGAACGACGCGTGCTTAGGACCATCTTTGGCAGGGTATATGAAAATGGTGTATGGAGGAGAAGAATGAACCACGAACTGACGTAACTTTATGGTGAACCCAATATCCAGAAAGTCGCTAAAGGTGGAAGGGTACAATGGGCGGGACACGTTGTAAGAATGCCGGACAACAATCCCGCAAAAATGGTGTTTTCCTCAAATCCGGCCGGTACAAGACGCAGAGAAGCACAGCGTGCTAGGTGGTTAGACTGGCTGAGGCTAATGTATTTTTATGTACTTGGACGTCACACTGAAGTCTGAATACATTAAGCGTACAGCAATACACGTTAAAATTTAATGTATTGAAGATGTCTGCTGATGTTTCCTACATTACAATTTCTATTCGGGTTGACGCTTGGCACCTCTTTAACCAAAACCTTTTCCTCCTTTGCCACGACCAGTCACTTGTTGCTTGTTGGGTGTGGAAGAGTGGACTAGCCACCACCTTCCTACTGCTGCTATTACTGACCACCACGTCCGAAGCGAAAATGAGCTGTTGTCATACAGCACCGCTGTTTTATATCTTTTCAGGTTAAAGCAGAATGATGTGCAACCAAGTGGTACTCGATTATGAGGACTGGGTTTGGGAAGAACGTTTAACAGTGATAAAATAATCACTTTTTATTTGTACATTGGACAATGCTTGACATTACCACTTTTTCAATAGCTTCTCGTTAAAAATCATCAGTCGGAATTGCCATATATGCGTAGAAATATTTATGATCGATTGATGATAAAATAATTGAAATTGGTCCAGGAGCAGCTGAGTTATTAATGTTCAAAATCTTTTATAATTTTGTTTCATGTTCCATTTTCGGTTTTCACAAAGTGCACCCCCAGTATAGAAATGAAAGACGTAGTCCTACGTCAAAAATCTCAAAATAATGTTTTATTTCAAATTTCGAGCGTAATTTTAACTGCTCAAATAAAGTGATTAATTTTGAAACTCAGCATTGCGAACGGCCAAGTTTAAAGAGCTCAATCGCTGGGTTGTTTTGTTTAGCCGTGCATAGAATTGACCCATCTGGAGAAATCTGGCATCACTGCACCCTGTTGACAACAGAAAGTAAACAATGTGTGTTCTAATCGTACGTTGCCGGCTTCATAAGTTTTTTAGATTATAATAGATTATAATATATTATATAGATTTTACCTACATTATTTGAAAGTAGTTGTGCATATTCGATTACATTATTTTCTATTAATATTAACCTGCTGGTGTTCAATTATGGTAGGATTAATTTTCTAGAGCTTGAGATAGATACGGATTGTCGAATTATTCACTTCATTATTTCAGTCCGTCACGCTGCATACCGACGTTGGCGATATCAAACTGGAACTCTTCTGCGAGGATTGTCCCAAGAGTTGCGAAAATTTTCTGGCTCTTTGTGCCAGTGACTACTACAACGGGTCCATATTTCACCGCAACATCAAAGGATTCATAGTGCAAACGGGCGACCCTAGCGGAACCGGAAAAGGTGGTCAATCGATTTGGGGTCGCAAGTACGAAGATGAGTTCAAGGAAAATTTGAAACACAATGAACGGGGCATGGTGTCGATGGCCAACAACGGTCCCAATACTAATGCTAGCCAATTTTTCATCACCTATGCAGCCCAGCCCGCATTGGATTTGAAGTATACACTATTTGGCCGGTTTGTGCTTAAAATTGATATCCGGGATTATGGGTCCATGTTCAATGTTTGCTTTATTCTTTCAGAGTAATTGACGGTTTAGAAGCCCTGGATGAACTCGAGAAGCTGATGGTCAATCCCAAAACTTACCGACCAGTTGTGGAAAAGAAGATAAACAGTGTTACTATTCACGCCAATCCACTGGCTAGGTAATAAAGCAAAACAAAATTAAAGCCTTGCATTTTTCAATGTGTACATTCCATAGAGCAAGAGTCGAGTGAGTTTCTAGCACCGACTTGAAGAAATACGCTGATATATCGCATATACTTGTAAATGGGATAAATGTTAACACGAGGTTGTACAAGAAAAACCGAAGATCAAGTGGTTATAAACTCAATTATACCTAATGTTTCTTCGAGGACGTGGTTTAAAGGCTTGGGTGTAAATCGCGTGATTAGTAGACTTATGTTCAACCACTAATCGTTCCGTAGAATAAACCTCGTAGGCAGTAATATCTGTCGGTTTAGAAACGGTTACGATGACATCGATCATACAGTTTAGCAATGTTCTGATGACGCCGCCAGAGAGTGCCTTTTTGAATACCTCTGAGGTCCAAAGAAGACAACCCTATATTCCTATCAGAGACATGCTGGAAACTTACGATCTCTGCTGATGCAGTCGATTGATGTGTGTCATTCCTGTTTTTCTTATTGTCCCCTCGTCTCTATGGGTCTTAATGTACAACGTTATAGTGCTGGCAACAACTATCTGATGAGACAACGATAGCCCAATTCCATGGTCCTACTCTGATCCATCTCTCAAAAATGTTATGGCTGTTCATAAACCTTACGCGTAGACTATCAACCACACTATTTTTTGGAAATGTGTGTGGACCGTAGACACTCGCCAACTGCCCCAATGTCCCTTAAATTAAAATCTTAAATATTCGAGAGAATTTTCTAAACAGTAAAAAAAGCATCAAATATATTATCCAAAATTATTGAGATAATCAGCCCTATTTCCTTTTCCGTTCGAAACGAATTTTCCAAACAAAACAAACAATGTGTATGGGATATGCGTTTCAAACGGAATACAAATAGGGGTGCTTGAGTATGCGAAATCAATATTCTTGAAGGGATTTCGGATCTAGCAGGAAGTATGTACTTGGTCTTGAATGTTACCAACTATCAAAGTATTTGCTTTCCGATAGTCAAATAATACGTTTAAAAAAAGGCTGCACTTACCTCAAACATACAGTGTTTATAGCTAGGTATCTCTGATCTTAATCCTAAAAAGTATTACTTTTCAAGTAATAACCACCATCTGATCCTTGGTAAATAACATTGCCGGATACCGAGGTGCTCGCATTTGACGGTTGCATGGCTGTAAATTGAAAATTTAAACCATCATTGACATCAAATGTTGCAATCAGTTCTAGAAGTGCGATCAATCATTGTTATGTAGCACCTTTCATAACTCACAACTGTAGTCCTGATCAATCGTTTCATACTGTTGCTGATGTTCCGGTGTTTGTTCGGGACTAGACCTCTCAGTTTTTGTACTCTGAAATTGGCGAAAATGTAGTTTCGAACGAATCAAAAACCAACCCAAACCTCTCTTACATCTCGATATTTGGTGAGATACAATTTCAAAGGCTCCACGTAATTATCGAATCCCAACGTGTACATCGCACACAGAATGTCCTCTCCGTTGATGGTTTTTCGTTTCTCCATATGGCATCGTTCGCTAGCTTCGGAGGTGATAAACGAAATAAATTCCGAGACGCACTCCTGAACACATTCGCGGGCATCTTTTGCAATCTTTCCATTGGAGGGAATTCCTTTCTTCATTATTTTGGTGATATTGGCTATCGGCAGGAATCGATCTTGCTCACGTAATGCAACACCCGATTTGTGTAAATGATCCGCACCGGAATCGTCCGAATGTAAGCCGTCTGTTGAGAAGAAAAAGTGTCAGTCGAATAGTTTCACGGCCATTCAACTCAGAGCTTTGAGTAACCCCAATTTTTATTAAGCTAATAAATATTTCCTTGAGAGAAAAAAAGTGTGATAGCACAACACAAATTTATTCAGTCACTGGATGAGATTGAACGGCCGTATTTGGAATTGAAACCGAACGCACGATATGCTTACCGATTTCGTCTTGAACAAAATATGTACCTTCCAGAACCGAGGGCACGTTACCTTGTGCCATTATTTAAAGCTAATCAAGATTGAATATCTATTTAAAATTACTTAAGGGTTTCACCAAACCTCCCGCACGAACTGGTTTTGTTTAAAAAATTAATGTATGTTCTTGAGACCTTGTTGATAAACATCAAACAAATAAGATGGATGGCGCTGAAACCAATGTACATAAAGAGAGAGGTGCCACAGTTCGTTAATTGTATTTGGAATAGAAGCAAAAATCGACGTCAACCTTTCAAAAATGCGAGATTGATTTAGTAAACAATGGCTTTAGCCATGGATTTCTTAAGAATGAAAGCTAAAGCATGCAACATATGGACACCATCAGTAAGATTAATGTTTCTAGCAGCTGGCATCGTCAATTTGCAGGATGAAGCATTTATTTTAGAGAAATCGACTGTTGTAAGCATTGTTTACGAGCGCAGGTTGGCCCTAATGAAATGTTGACACTGAAATTGTGACGTCGATTGTATCGTTTAGTAGTGTCACTCAATAATAAACCGATTGAGTACCTCGGTAATTTACTCCTTGGGCTGAAACGTCAAGATCACAGTGGGCCTGAAATAACTTTGATCTCACCATTAGGCCGTTCGCAATGCTGTTGTATTTTATAAGGACTGTTTCAATTTGAAACTAGAACAGAAACGCACCTCTCGCAATGCTGAGTTGCAGTTTCATTATTCGAGCACTATTTTGCACCAGATTTGCAACTGCTCGACTATTCTGTTTTATTTCTGAGCGAGTTTGAAACACGAATGGAACTCTGTTTCAAATTTCTTTGGATGTGTTCAAGATGTTTCGAAGAGCTCCACAAAAAAAAACGGAGAACTTCATAGAGAACAGTAAAGTTTATGGAACTTGATGATTACAAACATGTTTTAGAACTGTGCGTTGCGCTGATCGTGTTGCAGTTTTATTTTTGACAGTTTCAAATTATAGAATTGACGAGTAGTTTGAAACAATTTTGAAACTCAGCATTGCGAACGGCCTTAGGCCGTTCGCAATGCTGTTGTATTTTATAAGGACTGTTTCAATTTGAAACTAGAACAGAAACGCACCTCTCGCAATGCTGAGTTGCAGTTTCATTATTCGAGCACTATTTTGCACCAGATTTGCAACTGCTCGACTATTCTGTTTTATTTCTGAGCGAGTTTGAAACACGAATGGAACTCTGTTTCAAATTTCTTTGTATGTGTTGAAGATGTTTCGAAGAGCTCCACAAATAAAAAACGGAGAACTTCATAGAGACCGTAAAGCTTATGGAACTTGATGATTACAAACATGTTTTAGAACTGTGCGTTGCGCTGATCGTGTTGCAGTTTTATTTTTGACAGTTTCAAATTATAGAATTGACGAGTATTTTAAAACAATTTTAAAACTCAGCATTGCGAACGGCCTTAAAATTTTATATTCAAGTAATTCGAGCAGTATTCAGGGATGCCAGGAAGGATAATATTTGTTTACACGCTAACTTGAAAGTACCCATTAATGGTTGAAAAAGACCCATTTTGAAGAAAAGTGGCTTAACTCATTAAATGAGTAAATTTTTTACCCATTAATGAGTATCTGTTACCCATTAATGAGTAATTGTTAATCATTAATGGGTAACAGATACTCATTAATGGGTAAAATTGTTTAATCATTAATGAATTAAGCCACATTTCTTCAAAATGGGTCTTTTTTACTCATTAATGAGTACTTTCAAGTTAGCGTGTACAGGAAATGTCTGGTTTATTTTTTTTTAAATCCTCTAACCTTCATATATGTATACAATTAACCACTTCATTCGAGCAGATAAAATGACGTTTACTACCACTCGAACTTTGAAATGAAACATTATTTTGAGATTTTTTCTTCTAGAACCTCGAGAAAAGTAGCCAACATTTGTGCGTTTCATAAAAAAAAAATAGAAATTAGTTGGTCCAGTTTTGTGAAATCGCTGGTAGAAAGTCACGCCAAAACTGCTTGAGAAAGTGGTCAATTAAGGCCCAAATGCAATGTGGGCGGAAGCGGAACGGAAACGGCAAGTTCAACAGTTGTCACAAATGACATTAACATGCCTAACCGAAGTCGATTTTATTTAAATTCAATCCGACAGCGCGGAAAAAACATTCAGTGGACACAAACCACAACAACAAACCAAGTTGTTGCAAAGCAATTCCAGATTCACTCTAGCAATTACTTGCACTGAAAAAAGTTTTCACTTAGTTTCTATTAGGAACGCACATAATATTTTTCCAATAACAAAAATAATGATTGTTAACTGAATATCACATAGTATAAGAAATTCTATGTGAGAAATCTAGTGAGAAATCATATAGATTTCATTGGACACATAACGTTCATGTGATTTATATGTGCAATTTCCCATTATGGGATCACATGAAAGTTATGTGAAATTCACATGGATATTTTCCACTGGCTATGTGATTTATTTTATTAGTGTGGGATTCCCGAAGAAAAACATAATTGATGGGATTTTTTTGAGTTTGTCATGTTGACGAAAATAGAGCAGGGATAGAAAAGTAGATAGGAATAGATCTGGGAATAGAGATTTTTATGTCTGGTTGTATTGGTGAGATATATGAGAGTGTGTTAGTGAAATTCCGAGGAAAATACATAAAAAATCGCTGTCAAACTAGTTTTGACAGAAATAATTTCATACATTTTTTTAGGTTAGCCAGAGGAAAATAATAAACAACTTTACACGGCGATGCACCCGCTAGTGTGCGTGCGTTAAACGTCACTAATCTCTATAGATGTGATGTGAGGGGTGTTTAAAGGTTTCAGAGGGATACGAGTCTGAACGCGAAGAGGATAGGTGTAAAAAGAAGATAAAAATTTGCTGGAAGGAAGCGTCCATAAATTACGTAACGCTTATAGGGGGAGAGGGGGTCACCTATATCATTACGAATTGACCACTTTGTCAAGCAGTTTTGGCGTGACTTTCTACCAGCGATTTCACAAAACTGGACCAACTAATTTCTATTTTTTTTATGAAACGCACAAATGTTGGCTACTTTTCTCGAGGTTCTAGAAGAAAAAATCTCAAAATAATGTTTTATTCCAAAGTTCGAGTGGTAGTAAACGTCATTTTAAGTGCTCGAATAAAATGGTTAATTATTACATAAGGGAGGAGGCTTTGATGTAAAGTTTGAAAATACAGGTAAAGAAAATCATCACTAAATCTTGCTTGCAAAATGTATATGTTTTAATTTTATATCTTGATATTTTCGCTATTCTTAAACATTTGAAAAGCAGGTACGCTGATCTTTTGTTTTTATATTGAATATTAATAATTTAATTACCTAGAAATAAAAAAGACAACGAATTCCAAAATTAATTCAATGGAGGCTTTTAGAGCGTCACGGAATAAATAGAGGGGTATCATTTTCAGTGATACGTTTTGTTCCAAAAAGGGGAGGGGGGGGGTCGAAAATATTTATTTTTAGCGTAACGTAACGTAATGGACACCGCTCAACAAATCATATTGTCGAGCAGTTTTGAGACGACCTTCTACCAGCGATTTTACGCAAATGAAACAATAAATTCCAGATTTTTCAAGCATTTTACAAATAAGACCCTATTTTCTCGAGGTAGAAAGAAAAAGTATCAAAATATTGTTCCACGTTAAAGTACGAGTGGTAGGAAACGTCATTTTAAACTGCTCGAATGATGTGATCCATTGACCACTTTTTCAAGCAGTTTTGGCGTGACTTTCTACCAGCGATTTCACAAAACTGGACCAACTAATTTCTATTTTTTTGTGAAACGCACAAATGTTGGCTACTTTTTTCGAAGTTCTTAAAAAAATAAATCTTAAAATAATGTTTCATTTCAAAGTTCGAGTGGTAGTAAACGTCATTTTATCTGCTCGAATGAAGTGGTTAATATTAACCAAAGCTCCCAGCTCAAGTGCAGAAAACGGTTCCGTACCGAATAGGTCGAAACTGTACTATAGCAGGAACGGGTGGCGGCGATGGATCACTAGAATCCGGTTAATATTCCCAGCTGTATTTGGACGGGAATTTGATTAGCAATATTCTCGAACAGAAACTCCATCAGCCGGTGAATGTCTTACTTCACTATTAGCTCTTTCTTCTCCGAACCCTTGATTAACAGCAGCGACGAGTACAACTTGGGCCGAGTGGAAAAAGTGACCTGAATTCCTTTTCCACCTGCTTGTCGTATAGGGGGGTTGATTGGTGATGCTTTTCCCGGGGCTACACAGCAAAAAAAATGTAAACTGATGTATGAAATAATGATGTAATAGCAAAAAGCAGATACAATATTATATAAATGGATGTAATTTTGTTCGCAAAATCGATGTACATCGTACAACGTTATATCAACAATCAATACGAAACTAACGATTTTAAATTGGCTCACTACTTGACTAGCCTGTTGGTCCCAAGCAAACGATTAACGTACCTCATTCTACTTCGAAATTCTACTACTAGTTTGTTTTGATTCGCTATGAAAGTTTGACAGATAAAATGAGGGGTTAGTGGATTTTCCTATGTTTCGAGGACTTGGGACCGAAGAGAGTACCAGAGCTGAGCCAAAAAGTTGAGCACGTTATTTCGGGACCTTCTAGTATTAGAGTTACCTCTATGGTTATATTCAGCGAATCCAAACACATAAAGCAACCAACGATACAGACAAAACGGTTGCTACGACTACCATGACAAACTCGATCGTTAACATAGCTCGATCCGAGTGGTAAAAGGATAATGATATATTGCTTGCCTGCTTTGTTGCAATATACACGGATGAGGACATAGCTTGATATGAATCGAGAAAAGACATAACAAAAAAATCCCATTAACACACGTGTATCATCTTCGGCTTTACTTCGTGAAGCAGTTTGCCAACAATTTGCTTGTTTCCTTCTACCGCCCGGAATGAGTTGTGTCGCACGGGCTGCTTGTCAAAAAAAGAACGAAGAAGATTATATCATTATTGCTTTGCACTTCTGACATAGCGTTATTATTCGGTTCGTTGATCGCTTGTCACTTTGTCATTTGGAGATATTTTTGATTCCTTGGTTATATCACAGACAAACAGACATAACACATTGAATATTTCTCAATGTAAAACATCGTCGCAAAAACATTACCGCCATCTGTTGAGTACACTGTGGTGGGTAGTACGCTGAACAGATGGCGGTACTGTGTAAACGTCAAACTCAAGGAAAAGGACTATGCGCGCCGCAGGTGGCGGTACTACCAACTACGATACTTTTAAATTGACCGTTAAATGCTGGTTCGATGAACAACTTGCGAGTGTTATGTCTGTTTGTCTGTGGTTATATTACACAACCGATGGATTGACCTGCACAGCAAAAAAAAAATGTAATATCGATCAACGTAATTCAAGCTGATGTATAAAATAATGATGTAATAGCAAAAAACAGATACAATATTACATCAAAAGATGTAATTTTGTTCGTAAAATCGATGTACATCGTACAACGTAATATTACACAACCGGCGGAATGACCTCTGTGCAGCTGTTTGGATGTAATATTCAACAACTTTTTTTTCTGTGTGGTTGCAGCAGTTTGGATGTAAAATTCAACAACTTTTTTTTTCTGTGTAGAAGCAGCAGTTCGAACGAAATCAACAGTTGCTTCGTGTCTGTTCGGCAACTTCCATGCTACAACAAAGAGACACCTGGGCTCTTATCCGTTGAATTCGATCGGTTTGGGTCCAGGAAATGGATGTGCGTTGCCGTCTTTTCTGTGATGCACTTGATGTTTTTGCCCCTGCGACCGATTATGGCCAACTGACATGTACTTAGTTCCGTTAATTGTTAACATAGGGCAGTGCGGTCAAAACATGTATCCGAAGTCCCCTCTTTTTTACATATTCTGCACAAAAAAAATACTTCCTCAGCCCCACCCCTGACAGGATTTCCCGCCGTATTCTATGAATAGTGTGGGGCCTAAGGGAAGGACAGCTCCAAGTATCAGCATCAATACGGATGGTGGAAATATTAAATATTTCAATATGTGTGATATTTGCAAATCTTACACCTAGTCTGACAGTTGTTTTTTGTGTTTTACAGTTTTTGGTTTTAAGTGTACATTTGACATTCGTTTAAAATGGATAAATGGATTTCACACCAGAGCCATGTCATTTTTTGATGATCTTGCTGGCCACCTCCACCGAAATCCGCTCCTTGTTCTCATAAATTCGGCATTCTTTGGTAGCTGATCTCAGTGCACATAATCGGTCGCACGTTCCCAGGAAATATTCATTAATTTCCTCGAATTCTTAATCGCCTGCAAACCCATGTGCTGTCCTCCGATGGAACGGGAATCGACTGACTACGCCGCCCCTGTAAACGGAGTCCCAGATTGATGGTTCCGTGGTCGTATTACGCTTGATTCGCCATGAGCCTGCAATTTGGAGAGATTTGCTGCTGGGGGAACTTGCCTAGTCCAGTGCCGTTTTTATCATCAAAAGCCGAAGCCGAAAACGATCAGAGCTATCGGAAACGAAAATCTAGGCAAAAATGATGAAACAGAAAGCTGCAGAAAACATTAACAACAACCGCGAAACGTCATGGAGTGTATGCCGAGGTGTATGCGTTAAAACTACATTGTTAATTTGTTTTACTTTGTAGCTTTCCGCTTGACAGTTAATATCATTGATATTTATACTAAAAACTATAATAACTACCAATATGAGCAATTTTTACACCAAATATTACTTCACATCAAGTTGTACTTCCCCTAGGGTGGAGCAGAAAGTATATTTTGTCCGTCGGTGATTGGTACTAGATTGCGGATCATAGACCGACGTTAAATAAAGGAATTAGGAAGAACTGAGGTGGCATTGCGCATCTCTAAACGAAAACCTTTTTCATACAAGCGTTCGTACAAAATGTCTTTCGTTTCGAGATGCGCAATGTGCCCCCTACACAGCAAAAAAAAAATGTAATATCAATCAATGTAATTCAAGCTAATGTATGAAATAATGATGTAATAGCAAAAAGCAGATACAATATTACATCAATGGATGTAATTTTGTTCGTAAAATCGATGTACATCGTACAACGTTATATCAACAATCAATACGAAACTAACGATTTTAAATTGGCTCACCACTTTAGTAGCCTATTGGTCCCAAGCAAACGATTAACGTACCCTATTCTAGTTGAAATTCTATTACTTCACTATGTTTGTTTTGATTCGCTATGAAAGTTTGACAGATAACATCAGGGGTGTGTGGATTCATGCAGAACATGCAGGGGTGAGTGAAATAGCTTGGGACTGCTTGGGACCGTTGTTCTGGTACTGAGTGAGCCAAAAATAATAATGATTTTCTTCGGGACCCAGTGGTCTTAGAGTTACCTCTATGGTTATATTACACAACCGATGGATTGACCTGGTTGCAACAGTTTGGATGTAATATTCAACAACTTTTTTTTTGTGTTCAAAATTCGGTACATATCCACACATCTATTACAAATGAGTATCTATAGGATATTCGAGTTGCTTATTCGAGCAGATTTTACAGCTCCCTATTTGGCTCTGTCAGAAGTGTCAGGTGTCATTTTCAGCACATGCACGCATTTTCCTGGTGAGCAGACAAAAGCGCGAGTAAGACATTTTGGCCCCTTTCTTCCGTGGACGGTAATCTGAAGCAGAGGTGTAAAAGAAAGGAAAACTAGTATTTTCCAAAGCGAAAAATGGCGGCTGTCGAAACCAAACCTGCGGAAGTGCAGGAAAACCTTGTCAACGACGAGGAAAAGGAGGAAATCAACGACGAGAATGCTGACGAAAATGCTTCCGACGAGAAGAAGAAAAAGAAGAAACCGAAAAGGCCAAAGAAGTCCGGTGAGTAACAAGGTGTAAACAACCCGGTTGTGGAATGCATGGATATTTTAAGCGACTTCCTGGTTCTCGCTATGTGATGCATTTCTTTTGAGGATTTGTTTGTTCGCAAATTGAGTTAAAAATTATCTGTAAGTAGCTCCGTGTTCTCAAACAATGTTATTGCTTTATCTGTATAGCTGCTGAAAAAGCTGAAGCTGCGGCACTGAGGGAAGCGGTCGCTGAGAAGGAGGCAGCTGAGAAAGCCGCTCGTGAAACGGAAAAGGCAGCTGCAAAGGAAGCCGAAAAATTGAAGAAACAGCAACAACAACAAAAACAACAGCAGCAGAAAAAAGAAGCAGCTGACGAGGACGAGGACGACGATGAAGATGAAGGAGCTGTAGGCGAGGGGGGTGCTGATGCCGCCAAGAAGAAGAAGAAAAAGCGTAATAACAAGAAGAAGGTCGCTGGTGGTGCTGGAACTGCTGGTGGCAAACTGGTAGCTCCATCGGTTCCCATTGTTGAACAGTTCAAGGATGGCAAATACCCCGAAGGAGAAATTATGCAATATCCGGACGCGACTACGGCAAAGGATCGTTTCACTAGTGAGGAGAAACGTGCCCTCGATAGGATGCACTTGGACATCTATAACGAGCTACGTCTGGCTGCTGAAGCTCACAGACAGACGAGACAGTACATGCAGAAGTGGATCAAGCCGGGTATGACGATGATCGAAATCTGCGAAGAATTGGAAAATACAGCCCGAAGGCTGGTTGGTGAAAAGGGACTTGAGGCGGGATTGGCTTTTCCAACAGGATGCTCGAGGAACCATTGTGCAGCTCATTACACCCCTAACGCTGGGGATCCCACCGTGCTGCAGTATGACGACGTGACTAAAATTGATTTTGGAACCCATATTAAGGGACGTATCATCGATTGTGCGTTCACACTTTCATTCAACCCCAAGTACGACAAACTGCTGGAGGCCGTCAAAGATGCCACCAATACCGGAATTCGGGAAGCAGGAATTGATGTCAGGTGAGTGTGGATGGAAGGGTCTTTGTCGAATGTAAATTTAAATTTAACTTATTTCGCCCTTCCCAGGTTATGCGACATCGGAGCCGCCATCCAGGAAGTTATGGAGTCGTACGAAATAGATTTGGATGGAAAAACATACCAAGTCAAGAGTATCCGTAATCTGAATGGTCACTCGATTAGCCCGTACCGCATTCACTCCGGCAAGACTGTTCCGATCGTGAAAGGTGGCGAAACGACCCGCATGGAGGAGAACGAATTCTACGCCATTGAAACGTTCGGTTCCACCGGCCGTGGAATGGTCCATGACGACATGGATTGTTCGCATTATATGAAGAATTTCGATACACCGTTTGTACCGTTGCGCTTGCAATCGTCCAAGCAGCTGCTTGGGCTGATTAACAAGAACTTCGGAACGTTGGCCTTCTGCAAACGTTGGCTGGACCGAGCCGGAGCCACCAAGTACCAGATGGCGCTGAAGGATCTTTGCGACAAGGGTGTCGTTGAAGCGTATCCGCCGCTGTGCGACGTGAAAGGCTGCTATACTGCACAATACGAGCACACGATCATGTTGCGCCCCACCTGCAAGGAGATTGTATCTCGTGGCGATGATTACTAGAGAGGGCTCTTGACGCCGAACGATTGACCGGTGAATTCGTTAGGACTTTGTCAAAATACGGTCGGTTTGCCTCTATTTGATACAGTGAAACAAGTTAGTAAGTATTGGAGTATCATTGTTTCGTTTTCTCAGTTTTGAAATCGTGTCAAACCAAATGGTTCAATTGTAACGAAAATAACATTTATTATTCAAAATACATCTAGTGTACACGTTGGTAAAGTACTGGTTTCCGTGTCATTGCTTTGTTCCGAACACTCTTCAGTACCACTCTATAGAAGTCTTTCCGGTAACCGTACCTAGTTCAGGATTAATGAAAATATATTTCTCAATTTTACGACTTTTTCCCTGTTTGTGGTTTCTACATTGTAGGGTCGGGTGGGGCAAGAGTGCCACCTTAACAATTGTACGTTCTATATATGCCAAATAGTGGACATTTATAGGAGTTTCTACACCGTATTGCAACTTCATATTATTGCCTTCATACATCAGGAATGTAATGCAAATTATATATCGTCAAAAGTTGTTAACGATTTTTTCAAAATGTCATCTCAAATCTTTTTTTGAAACTGCAATGAGGCAAGAGTGCCAACCCCTATAGACAAAAGCTGTAATTGTTTACCCAATTTAACTATTGAATTTTACAATATTATTCACTACATAACAAATCACGGATCAAGAGCTGAAGATCGCCATCTATTATAATTGAATCGAATTTAACCTCGCATTTGGGTACTGAGGCAGCTCTTGCTTCAACTATTTATAGAAGTAGTCAGAAATTCAAGAGCATGATTAACATCATCTTTAGATCTTTCGAACGAATATTTGGATCGAAGCCATATTCCATAAATGTTCGATATTGCTCCCAATCAGCTCTATGGTAATTGAAAGTAGAGCTGTTGGGATTAGAAATTATTTCTTGGGATATTTCAAAAGTTACTGGAAGGTGATCAGAACCGAAGTCAGCATGGGTAACCAATTGGCTGCAAAGTTGACATGAATCAGTTAAGACCAAATCAATAGTTTAGAGATTCCTTGCTGAAGAAAAGCATGTTGGGCTGTTTGGATATTGAATACTGTAATAAACTGCAGAACAATCTTCAAACAGAATATAACCATAGAGGTAACTATAAGACCAGAAGGTCCCGAATAAACCTGCTTAACTTTTTGGCTCAGCTCTGGTACTCTCTTCGGTCCCAAGCTAATCGATGCACCCCTACACGCTTATTCTGGTCAACTCAAAATTGAGTCGAATGTACTCATCTCAGCGGCAAGTAGGGCTACTCAAAATTGAGTAGCCTTATGTTGACTCACTTTTGAGTAAACGACGTTCTCACGTAGACTGATTCAAATCCACTCAGCGATATTTTCAGTTGCGTGGTTGGGGGTTTGTTTTGATTTTATGAAAGGAAATGGAACCAATTGCCTTAAGCAATGCCTACACAGAAATTCAAAACAACCCAAAATTAAGTTCTTTTCACTCATCTCCCATGTTCCGTACGATAAGCCAAATTTGGGTAAACCGGCTCAAAGTAGTTTGCATTTAAGCACGGCAAAAAAAAATTACCCATCGCTAAGTTATTTTCAATTTTTTCTACACAAAATTAAGTTCAATTAACTCAAATTTGGGTATATCGCATATTACTCAATTTTGGCTTCTCGTACGGAACTAGACGGTTGAGTCGAATCTTTCGTTCTATTTTTGACAACAATAGCGAGAGGAAATGAAACGGGCAGAGGTCAAATAACTCAAATTTGAGTTTAAAAAACTCAAGCGGTGGGTAGTTTTGTTTTTCTGTGTACTTACCTGAAGGAATTTCCACCGGTTTTGAGTGAAACATTCGCCCGTTTTCTAGGAGATTTTTTCTATGTCCAGGATTTTGCTGACTGAGTGGCTTTTACTCAGTTTGACATTTCTCGTTTACTCAGTTTTTGACAACTTGATTCAACGGACGAAAGTGAGTACGATCGACTCACCCGGTGAGTAAGCTGAAGTTAGCGTGTACTTCCAGCTCTATCTACACTAATAAAAATTCAATGATTAATTTTATGTGTCCCACACATGAATTTTTGCAATGTGATAAACATATGATATATATGTGTCCGACACATAGTTTTTATGGGTACACATAAAATTCATGTGTAGCCACACAGGCTTGCCAAAAGCTCCATCTAGAGTCATCATTAAGCTGAGCTCCAGCATATTTTGATGATGAAATATTTTGCTCTCATGGAGCTATACTTGATGCTCAAGCAGGGCTCTTGCCAACCCGCATCTTTGTGAGGGATGCGGAGCTCGTTCTCGGGTGTACATCGACTCTACCTGCCGAGCAGAAATTTTAACTTCGTGATGCGCTCGCGCAAAGCAGTAAACTTGGAGCTTCGTGATGTATTCGTAGAGAGCTTGGCTCTTGATGGCTTCTCCCAGTGCGCATGAATAGATGATTTTGTATTGTATTCGAGAAAGAAGTAAAAATTAAAAAAAAAAAAACATTATGGAGCGTATGCATACATTCCGTAACGCCAAAGTGGCAAATGTATTCATAGGGTAACTGTCTATATTCTATTCTATATATTCGTGTTGAAAATACACGTATTTGTTTTTGTTTGGTTTGACAGCTATGGGAACAAAATAAACATATTTTGAAATTATTTTAGTATTTGAGTGCAGGGTAAAGCTAAATAAAACGGATTGCAAAGAAATGAAAATTAAAAAGATCTTCGGGCAGGGCATCCCCTTCTTATTTTGGGGTGCGATTAAGGGTGAGCTGTGGGTATTGGGGTCCTTGTCCGGGATGCAGAGACCCGTCGGGGTGAAGTTGATACAGTGGGGTTCCACCGGTTTTGTCGAGTTGATTTCCGGATCCATCTTCGGTTTTGCCACTTTTGGTCCATCTGCTGAATCTTCTAACTTGCTGAAGAACAGAGCCGTATCAAAATTTGATTTGCGTTTCTGCGACATCTTGCAACCAACTGAAGGTTATGAATTAATCGATTCAGACTCCACCTGATTTAAACAACGCTAGACCAACAATTGAAATAGGCAAAACAACAAAATGTAAACAATGGCTTTAAACATAAATTCTTCGAAAATCAAAGCACATAAACAATCTAACGCCATTATCTGATAGTGTAAACTTCCTTTATCAAATAGAAATTTTAGTTTACGTGGTAGTGTTTTGATTCTCAAGAAGTTTGTGTTTAAAGCCATTGCTAACGTTTGGTTGTTCTGCCAATTTCAATTGTTGGTCCAGAAAGATTTCCGAGCTACCGTGTGTGCAGCGAGGGTAACGAATTGAATGAATGAACATGTTAAAAGGCAACAGGAGAATACGAAGACAGCACCAAGGGATAATCCATAAACGGAGTAATTAGTGCTTTTGCTATTTTTTCCCTCGTACATTCTAAGTCAGAAATATAATTTCGTTTATCCACTCATAAAGCACTTAGCGGAAAAAACAATCAAAGATTTTTGTGACTGAGTTTGAGTAACCCAAAAAGTGGTCCCCGAGTTAAAAAAAAAACACCAATCTCTCAAAATGTTACGTTCTCTGGGAATGATCCTGTAGTCCATTGTATGTATTGTTGTGTATCATAATATTGAATGGAAGAACCGTGCATAAATCAAAGGCCGTGTGTGCTCTCTCCGAATGCATAACGAAGCTCTATATTTACGGTTTCACCGAGTCCATCCCGAAGTTCAAAATGTTGTTTGGTGAGCAGAGCCGATGCAAATCACGCCTCACTCAAGAACGAACCCCGCATCACTCATCGTGATGCGTGTTTGTGGAAGTCCAGCTTGAGCATCAATCTGAGCTCGAGCTCTTTTGCGCTCTTTGGATTTGACACCATTGCTCTTTATATGTGAGGGATGAACTAGCTCACGATGAATGAGCATCTATACGGCATAATCTGAGTTCGAGGAGTTTAGGCAAGCCTGGCCACACATACTATTCATTTGACTCATAAATTTCATGTGTAGTTCTGAGTGGATTCTGTTTATGTGTGGACTAATGAAAATCATGTGGAATTTTACATGGATATTCGCCAATAAAAATGTGTCGAATATTATGAGTGTATAATTCGACACATTTTTATTGGCGAATATCCATGTAAAATTCCACTTGATCTTCATGTGTCCACACATAAACATAATCCACTCAGAAGTACACATGAAATTTATGAGTCAAATGAATAGTACAGGGTGCGTGACGAATTTTTGCAGTAAATGGCATATTTGATAAAAAAAATACACCAGTTAGTTATTCTAGCAATGAATTTTGTGCGATTTATTTTCTTTCGCAACATATGGAAGTTGTAAGTAAATTTATTCAAAAAATTGCCTTCCCTTTCGACGACTGTAGTTAGACGCTTCCGGAAACTGCACGTTTAAAAATGTTTCGATCCATAGATGTCATCACTGCCTTGATTTTAGCTTTTAGCGACTTAAGTGTGGTGTGAGGGGTTCTATTGGTATCCCGTTGGACGACGCCCTATACAAAATAATCCAACGGATTGATATCGGGACTCCTTGGGGGCCAAATTTCTTCTTCCCAAATTTACGAAATATTTTCCGTAAGCCATTTCTGTGCTTTATTAGCAGTATGAGCAGGTGCTCCGTCTTATCACTTTCCCAAGCCTTTTTTAATATTATACACTGTTCTTTCAGACACATTTACCGACCGAATTATTTCTTTCATGCATACTCCGGCGCGCAACAAAGCGACAACGGCTGACAGATTGCTCTCTTGTTTCGACATCTTTACGTTTACTCAACATTGTTTGTTTAAATCTTACACCTAACAGTATAAGCTATCCAGTGCTGCCAAATATATCTAAATCATGATGCACAAGCATGAGAAATTACTATTACAAAAATTCGTCACGCACCCTGTATGTGTACACATAAAAACTATGTGTCCGACACATTTGTTTATCACATTGCAAAAATTCATGTGTGGGACACATATAATTAATCATTGATTTTATAGATTTGTTTTAGAACAAAGATTTTCGAGCTCGACCAACAATACAGAAGGGTGAATCAAACAAATTGTAATAACCTTAGAGATCGTCCATTAATTATGTCACACTTTTAGGGGGAGGGGTTTTTTTTGGAAACTGTGACGAGCCTTACAAAAAACGATTAAGGTCCATATAAAAAATGTGTCAAGGGGGGGGGGGAAGGGGGGGGGGGGTTAAAATGGGCCAAATTTGCGTGACAT